TGGTGGCTCTTGATGCATTGACTCCAGCCTCAGTCCACTCCTTGTGAAAGTCTCCAACACTTTTGAATGGCCTTTTCCTGACAATCCTCTCCAGGCTGCGGTCATCCCTGCTGCTTGTGCACCTTTTTCTTCCACACTTTTCCCTTTCAAATAACTTTCTATTAATGTGCTTTGGGAACATCCAACTTCTTTTGAAATTACCTTTTGAGGCTTTCCCTTCTTATGGAGGGTGTCAATGATGGTTTTCTGCACAACTGTCAGGTCAGCAGTCTTTCCCATCATTGTGATTCCTACTGAACCAGACTGAGAGACCATTTAAAGGCTCAGGAACCCTTTGCAGGTGTTATGGCTTAATTAGCTGATTAGAGTGGGACACTTTGAGCCTAGAATATTGCACCTTTTCACAATATTCTAATTTTCTGAGATTGTTGATTTGGGGTTTTCATGAGCTGTAAGCCATAATCATCACAATTATGACAAATCACGGCTTGAACTATGTTGCTTTGCATGTAATGAGTCTATCTCATATATTAGTTTCACCTTTTAAGTTTCATTACTGAAATAAATGAACTTTTGCACGATATTCTAATTTTTAGAGTTTCACCTGTATATTATGCAAAATATAATAACCTTTTTACATATAATTTTTGCAATAGAATAGTGGTCTCCAAACTGTAGTCTAAGGACCAGATATGACCCTTTGCTACTGTTTATCTGGCCCTTGGGCCACTGGACATCAACAGTGGAGTGTAATTCCTTCTGCTGACACCAACAATGAGATACTTTTCCTCCCACTGACACCAACGATGGGGCACTGTTCCTCCAACTGGACACCAACACTGACCACAGACACCAATGATGGGGCACTGGTACGAATGATGGAACACTATTCCTCCCACTACTACAAAGCACTTTTTCTTCCACTGGACACCAACATTGGGGTATAATTCCTCCAATTGACACCAATGATGCTGCACTCTTCCCTCCACTGACACCAACAATGGGGCATAATTCACACCAGTGACTTGGCATTATTCCTTCCATTGACACCAATGATGGGGAGCTATTCCTCCCACTAATACCAATGATGGGGCACAATTCCTTCCTAACTGACAACATGCACTATGATTTTATTTTTAACGCCCACAAACACAAAGAGTGAGGCATTGGTTACTTACCAGTGATGCAGGGAAGTTTTCTATTCCGACTGGCCACAATCTCCCACCACCTAAAGTCTAAAAGACAGTAAAGTGGCCTTTGTTTAGAAAGCTTGGAGACCCCAAGGATAGAAGATTGCTAATCTAGTGCGACAGGCAAGATATTTCCTTCTATAAGTCTTTGGGGAACATTTATCCTCAGTACTGACAAGCAGGATCCACTGACTGCTGGACCAAGGCCACTCAGGTTAGTAACATTCTCTACTCAGTTTCTATGAAAGCAGTATATAAGATCATGGTATTTTGATGGTTCTTGGAGCCCCTTCATGCTATTGCAGTATTGTGCACTGCCTTAACATCTGTTATGCTGTGTGATAATTTTCTTCACATTAAGGCAGCCTGTTTATTTGAAAAGGCTGTCAAAGCATCAGAATTCACTAAAAGACACGCCTTGCTTTTTTTTTTAATGCAAGGGACCCATTCATGGTAGGGAATTACCATATGTTGCAGTGTGCTTAGTGAAGCTGTATTGTGGTGACATTCAGCCTGGCACCATAGCACATCAGCATGCATATGCCATGCAATAGTGTGAATGCGTTGTTGCAACAGTAGAGTGTACAGCAATAGTGCGCACGGGTCCTTACTCTTGGCTAGGCTTATTTGTGCAAACAGTAACACCACAATATCTGTGCTAAAATAAAACATCATAACAAACTTGACAAAATTTCAAAATATAACGTTAGCTGCCGGGAGAAGGACCAACATATGTGTCCCTATAACACAAAGCAACTGCAGCTCTAATAAAAAAAAGTCCTTAAGCATAATATGAATAGAAAAGTGCAGCAATGATAACAAGACTTCTCCAGAAGGTATCCTCTAGCATGGTGTTCAAAAGGAAGTCCCAAGGCGCAATTGTGCCAATTCCCAATCGAATTTCCACACCATAAGTGAAACTTCCATGAGAATCAAAATGGAACACTGCCATCCCATTTAAATCCAAAGCTTACCAGAAGGTAAGTATGGTTCAGTCCCCATACAGGATTAACAAATGGGCAGCAACCACTTCATCTGTCTTCAAATGCCATATTTGGTAACCAACAACTGCAATAGTGCAGATTACCCAATGCTTTCTTTATGCTTAAAACCACATATAAAACCGTTCTGAGGATGCAGAGTATTCAAAATAGGCCGTTGCTTGCATGGTGGGCGTACAGGTGTTACTGTCCAGAAACTCCTTCCTTAGTGTTTTATCCTAATAGGACGTCCTTAGGGGCTCTGGATGCTGCTTTCACATTGCTCCGTAGGAATGCTAAAGAGTGGATGGAAACAATCAGCCAGTAAGGAATACCAGACCCCACCACATAGCTTATTCAGTGCACTACCATCAAGTGGAAAAAATAAGTACAAAGGAACAAGGCATATGTAAACAGAATATTTGCCATCAAACTCCCCCACAGTGGTCAACAAGCATTATATGAAAATGGCATAATTATTGCCAAGCTGCAAATGACACAGACAGCCAGCTCTGTTAAAGTATAACTAAAGGCAACACTTCTTTGTGTAGTTTTGGATAGAGCAGAGAAGGATGAGAACATCTGTCTGTTTTGATTGCGGTCTGTGCCCATATTAGGGAGATTCATCCTTTCTCCATTATCATTGGGTAAAAGTCAAAGTCAAAGAAAATCCCAGATTTTGGGTTGACACCAGTACAGTAACAGAATAGAAATCTTCCAAAGGTAAAATTAGTTCTGGTGACATCCTGGGATTCTCTCACTGGAGAGATTTAATCTCACATCCTGCTTCCTGGCTATGGGGTTATGACCCTCAACTGTATCCAAAATGAAAAAAAAAGTTTTGCTTTTCTTATACTTTTACCACTAGCCTACAGGGCACTTATACCCCCTTCCTGCCCAGGCCAATTTTCAGCTTTCAGCACTGTACCACTCTGAATGACAATTGCGCGGTCATGCAACACTGTACCCATATGAAATTTTTATAATTTTTTTGAGACAGGGCTTTCTTTTTGTGGTATTTAGTCACCTCTGGGTTTTTTATTTTTGCTGCTAAACAAACCAAAAACAACTGAAAATTTTGATAAAAAACAGGTTTTTCCTTAGTTTTTGTTATAAAATGTTGTAAATAAGTGATTTTTCTCCTTCACTGATGTGCACTAATGAGGCTGCAGTGATGGGCACGGATAGGCTGCACTGATGGGCACTGATGAGGAGGCACTAGTAGGTGGCACTGATGGGCATTGACAGGCATCACTGATGGGCACTGAAAGGCAGCACTCATATATGGCACTGATAGGTGGCACTGATAGGAGGCACTGACTTGAGAAATAAATATGCAGCGCTTAGGAAATTAAATATGAACAAACAGAAACATGAGCAGCATAACTGCATGACAAATTCAGTCCATATTGCATGGTGCGATAAAGTGACAGGTGCAATTGTCCTAATAGTTCATGTTCAGAGAAATTCGTGACTCTTGTGATCTCGTGATTTGTACAAATAATGCACTAACCAGATAGCGCAATCAAAGCGCATGGAGCAATTAAGACCCGCTCCTGGTGCTCTGGACTTGTAATATTAGGAGGATGTCATCTGTAGGTTTGGCCACCAGATGTCATCAATCCAGGTATATAGGTAAGTCATCAACCAGAAAGATCATCAGCGGGGGAGGGGGTGATCATGCATCATTCCCAGATGGACGGAACCTTCAAAAGCGGGCTCCCATATCATAGATGAGACCCAGAGAAGCCTCGTTAGTCATGGTGAATATGGACACTACTTTGCTGCCAGCAGTCTTCCCGATACGCCTCACCAAAACATCCAGAAGTGACGTCACAGTGACACGTGGCTACTGCGGTCACGTGCCGCCAAGGCAGAGCAACCTGGGAGGAAACGGAAATGAAGCGAAGCTGGCTTGAGAGAAGCGAGTATCTGTGCTCACACATCTGTGTGAGCACAGATACTCGCTTCTCTCAAGCCAGCTTCGCTTCATTTCCGTTTCCTCCCAGGTTGCTCTGCCTTGGCGGCACGTGACCGCAGTAGCCACGTGTCACTGTGACGTCACTTCTGGATGTTTTGGTGAGGCGTATCGGAAGACTGCTGGCAGCAAAGTAATGTCCATATTCACCATGACTAACGAGGCTTCTCTGGGTCTCATCTATGATATGGGAGCCCGCTTTTGAAGGTTCCGTCCATCTGGGAATGATGCATGATCACCCCCTCCCCCGCTGATGATCTTTCTGGTTGATGACTTACCTATATACCTGGATTGATGACATCTGGTGGCCAAACCTACAGATGACATCCTCCTAATATTACAAGTCCAGAGCACCAGGAGCGGGTCTTAATTGCTCCATGCGCTTTGATTGCGCTATCTGGTTAGTGCATTATTTGTACAAATCACGAGATCACAAGAGTCACGAATTTCTCTGAACATGAACTATTAGGACAATTGCACCTGTCACTTTATCGCACCATGCAATATGGACTGAATTTGTCATGCAGTTATGCTGCTCATGTTTCTGTTTGTTCATATTTAATTTCCTAAGCGCTGCATATTTATTTCTCATGTTTCTATCTGGGTCCCAAGGTTACCTTTTATGCTAGCTGCTTCACTTATGCATTCCCAGCGCTCTATTACCTACTTATATAGGAGGCACTGACTGGCACTGATAGGTGGCACTGACTGGCACTGATAGGCGGCACTGATGCGCACTGATAGGTGGAACTGACGCACACTAATAGGCGGCACTGACTGGCACTGATAGGTGGCACTGACTGGCACTGATAAGCGGCACTGACAGGCACTGATAGGTGGCACTGACTGGCAGCACTGATAGGTGGCACTGACTGGCATTGATAGGTGGCACTGATAGGTGACACTGAAATGCAGTTCAGATGGGCACTGATATGTGGCATTGATGTGCACTGGTAGGCACTAATATGTGTTATTGATGAGGCACTGATGGGCACTGGCAGGTGGCATTGATGAGCACTGACAGCTGGCTATGATGGGCACTGACAGGTGGCACTGCTGGGGCTACACTTATCATCAGGGCACACTGATCATCAGTGCCCTGATGATCAGTGTACATGTCCCCTCCGAGGAATGCCGATTACTAGCTCTCCTCTCGAGCTGTCAGTGTGACAGTTTGTGAGGAGAGAAATGCCGATAACCGGCATTTCCCTATTTACATGCGATCAGCAGTGATTGGACACAGCTAATCATATGACCGTGCCGACATCTTCGGCTCTTTCCATTGATCAGTAATCTGTTGTGTCCGAGGGACACAGCGCACCACCGATCGCCGCGCTGCGCGCTCCCGGAGCCGCACATGCGCGGTTAGAATGGGAAGACGTCATATGACGTCCACCCAGAACGAGAGAATCGCCTTGTGACTGTCATTGCCTTATATGGCGGGCGGGAGGTGGTTAATCACATATGGAACAAATGAAAACATAAAATAAAATAAAAAAATTTCAATGTGTATGCATGTGTATACATACATACAGTCAGGTCCATAAATATTGGGACATACACAATTCTAACATTTTTGGCTCTATACACCACCACAATGGATGTGAAATGAAACGAACAAGATGTGCTTTAACGGCAGACAGCTTTAATTTGAGGGTATTTACATCCAAATCAGGTGAACTGTGTAGGAATTACAACAGTTTGCATATGTGCCTCCCACTTGTTAAGGGACCAAAAGTAATGGGACTTGCCAGGAAGAATTAAGGCAGCTCTGAAGGCAAAAGGGGGTCCAACCAGGTACTAGCAAGGTGTACCTAATAAAGTGGCTGTGTGAGTGTATGTATAGATACATATATATAAATATATATATATATATATATATATATATATATATATACATACACAGTGCTCTGAATAAATGAGTACACCCTTTTTAACCACTTGACCTTCAGAGGATTTACCCCCTTAATGACCAGGCCTCTTTTTGCTACTCGGCGCTGCACTAATTCAACTGATAATTGCGTGGTCATACAATGCTGCACCCAAACGAAATTTACGTCCTTTTTTTCACACAAATAGAGCTTTCTTTTGGTGGTATTTGATCGCCTGTGCGCTTTTTATTTTTCACGCAATAAACAAAAAAAGGCCAAAAATTTTTAAGAAAAACAATATATTTTACTTTCAGCTATAAAAAATATATAGTAAACTCAAAGTTGGTTATAAATTTAGGCCAAAATGTATTCTGCTACATGTTTTTGGTAAAAACAATCCCAATGAGTGTATATTGATTGCTTTGTGTGAAAGTTATAGCGTCTACAAACTATGGTATAAATACTGCAATTTACGTCATTTTTTTGCTATACAGCGCTGCGCTAGTTTAACGGACAATTGCACGGTCATGCAATACAGTACATAAATTAAATTTACATCATTTTTTTCCCCACAAATTGAGCTTTCTTTCGGTGGTATTTGATCGCCTATGCGGTTTTTATTTTTTGCGCTATAAAAAAAAGGCTGACAATTTTGAGGGGAAAAAACAATATTTTGGACTTTTTGCTATAAAACATGTCCAGTAAAAAAAAATTTAAAAATCAAATTTAGTCATAAATTTCTGCCAAAATGAATTCTGCGACATGTCTTAGCTAAAAAAAAAACCCCAATACGTGTAAATTAATTGGTTTACGTGAAAGTTATAGCATTTACAAATGGCGGGAAAGATACTGGGATTTTTAGTTTTTTTTTTATACTAATAATGGCGGCGATCAGCGACTTATGGCGGCGATCAGTGACTTATGGCGGGACTGCAGCGGACATTCTGACATTGGGGGGTACTGACTTGGGGTCACTGACATCCCCAGTGACACCAATACAGTGATCAGTGCAAAAAAAAAAACACTGACACTGTACTAATGGCACTGGGGAGGAAGGGGTTAAGTTTATTATTCGGGAAAGGGTTAACTGTGTGAGGGGAGTGTTTTACTAGGGGGCGGGGGTGTGTACTGCAGGGAACACCGCTGATCGGGAGAGAGAAACTCTTCTGTCCCGATCAGCGTGTCCTGGAGCTGTCAGGAACTGACAGAAAGCACAGCAGCTGTGCTCTCTGTCAGCAATTGCCGCCGATCGCCGGGACATAGCCAGTAACGACCGGCTGTGACCCGGCAACTGACATCCGCGACTGTGATCGGCGGGACAGGTAGGTCGGCGGCGCGCCTCGCACGCGCCCCCTACCTGTTTACAAAACACACGTTTTAAAACGTGCTTTTGCCCAGCCGTGCCGCCCTGCCGCCGTATTTATACAGTGGCTATGCGGCATGTGGTTAAAAAATAAGATTTGAAACAATATCTCAATGAACACAAGAAAAATTTCCAAAATTTGCTGTAGAGATTTGTAAATAGTTCCAGGAACTAGTCCTCGGTTTCTCGGATCCATTGGGCATCCCATACACCCATCCAAGTTTAAATTCCCCTAATAAAACCCAAAAGCCCAAGCTTAATGACTGATTTCCTTTTCTATAGGCTCTACAGTGTGGATTCAGTTTATTTTATACCCATAAATATTGTACCTCTAGGATCTTTGGTATGAAAATGTGCACAATGCATAGACAGACTGACTCCTTTAAAGCTCTTTCTCATGTTGCATATATGCTCCTCCAGTCCCAAGCTAACATTTAGTGCCCGTGTGGTCCTCCTCACGTTCTGTAGGCCCCAGGTACACTGGAAAAAATATACAACATGAGTGGAACTGCATGTATTAAACTCTGATATATTATAATTTTTATTCATTTGATTAGAACTAAGAGACCTCCTTTTCTGATTTGATTTTCCTCATTTACACATGGTACATCATTTATTTTACAGAAAAAAAAACTTTCAGGTTGCCAAAAAAAGAGGTTTTGATAGGAAGGTTCTATAACATTTGGGGCTAGCATGTCCCTCAAACTGGGGGCTTTCCTAATCAAAACTTGGAGACCATCTGGCAACAATGGCAATAGTACCTTGTCACCTTTTAAAAATAGGCCAATGTTTCATACTAAGCCTTTTAATCTGTCGGTGCTACATAGAGATAAAATAATAATAAAAGCACAGCCAAGGTTTTTCATATTATGAACCTTGTGTGCCTGATTCTATCCAAAATGTGACCTATATGTGGGAATCACAACTGAATATTTACACCTAGAGCTGAGCACTTGCCTCTCCGTGCACAGAACACAACAGTCCCTAACACTTAATTTCTATTCTGACTTCATAAAATACATAAATAAAGATTGGCAAACAGAAAATTTTTAGCTCCTACAGGTACTTGTAGGTGTTGAAAAATTGTAGAGGAGACAAGAACACTCAGAATAAAGCTCTGAGCAAGAACATATACATAACTGTTCACACCTTGTAAATCAAACTGGCAGTGTTAGTCTCTCTCCTCCTCAAATATAAGCTGTTCCCTGCAAGTCCTGAGAAAACATAGCACAAAAGAAAAAAATCACACTTAACTCCATCAACTATATATATATATATATATATATATATATATATATATATATATATAATGCTCAAATGTTATTTCTTTTGAGTTTTTGTTTTAACCACATTTATTGGTGGGGAGTTGGAGGGTTCCTTTTTTTTCTTTTATGCTATATTTTCTCAGGACTTACAGGGAACAGCTTATATTTGAGGAGGGGGGAGACAAACACTGCCAGTTTGATTAGCATGATGGAGATGGACAGTTATATATATGTTCTTGCTTGGGGCTTTAGCCTGAGTAGTCTTGTCTCCCTTTTCCATTTTTTCAACACCTACACATACCTGTAGGAACTAAAACGTTTTCAGTCTACTAGTCTTTATCTATGTATTTTTTTAACTGATAATAAAAGTTATGTTTTAGGGCCTGGTGGGTATTGTGCGCAGACAAGCACACAGCTCTTGGTGTCATTTTTCAATTTTTATCCATAAGTACTATTTCTCTATCCAAGCTTTGCACTACTGAAATATCCCTAATCAATTTCTCCACCTTATACCTATTTCCATAAATCACTGTTTCAGCAGCCTTTTCCTGAAAATCAGTGATCTTCGTAAAGCTGCGCTTAATGCAAACAAATTGGTCTTTGGGCAGAGCTGTTTTGGACTAGTTGATATTTAATATGGCCACTAGATGGCACTTTGACTTTTGGTATTTGTTATGTAAGATTTTACAAACTCCAAGCAAGCTTTCGTGTGTTTTGCATTGAAGAAAGGTTTCTATCTATCACTCTGCCATAAAGCCCAGATAATGTAGGTGGAGGGCTGCAGTGATGGTTGTCCTTCTGGAACCTTGGCCCACCTCCACACAAGACATCTGGAGCTCAGTAAGAATAACCATCGGGTTCTTGGTCGCCTCTCTTACTAAGGCCCGTCTCTCCCGATTGCTCAGTTTGGCCAAGCAACCAGCTCTTGGTTAAGCCAAACTTCTTCCTTTCGAGAATTATGGATGACACTGTGCTCTTGGAAACCTTCAGTGCAGCAGACATTTTTTGTAGCCTTTGCTAGATCTGTGCCTTGCCTATAATCTTTTTTCTCTGAGCTCCTGCACGGCTTGCTCCGATACGGTTGTCCGATCAATGTCCGATCAATTTAATTTATTACAGGTGGACTCCAATCAAGGTATAGAAACATCTCAGCATGATGAAGAGAAAAAAATGTCAAGTGTTGTTGCAAAGGGTCTGAATACTATGTCCAATGTGATATTTCAGTTTTTTATGATATTTTTAGTTTTTTTGCAAACTAAATCTAAAAATCTAATCTAAAATTCGATTTTCATTTTGTCACTTAACAAAACTGAAAACAGAAGGGGAGAGAGAGAGAGAGAGAGAGAGAGAGAGAGAGAGAGAGAGAGATTGGAGCTACCTGTGTCATTTGCAGCTTGGCAATGATTGTGTTTTTTAATATGTTGCTTTTTCATCACTGGGTGACCACAAACCCAATTTACATATGCCTCGTTCCTTTATACTTATTTTTTTCCACTACATAGCAGCATATTGGATAAGCTATGGGGCAAGGTCTGGTATTCCTTAATGGCCAATTGTTTCCATCCACCCATTAACATTCATAAGGTGTAATGCGAGAACAGCACTTGAGGATGTACTATTGAGACAAAACGCATAGGGCTGAGATTCTGGATGCTGATGTCATGACACACATTGAGAGTCACACAAGTAGCAGCATATTTTGAATACTCTGCACACTCGGAAGTGTTCTATATGTGGTTTTTTAAAATGCAGTTTTAAAGAAGAAATACAGGATGGGCAAAATATCATCC